CAATATTGTTGATGTGTCCTAAGCTGGGTTCATAAACAACAAGTGCAGCTGCTTCTTTGTAATAATCTTTCACTTCCATCATAGGTTCACCACTTTTCGTAAATCCCAGTGCCCTTATTGACGCATATGGAGCATTAATGGTAAATAGCTTTTTAAACAAATTCTGAACACCATGATCCTTCACCCATACATTACAAACTTGATTCATCATGTTTGTAGCGTATTCAAGAACAGCTAGAGACTCCCATACCTTAGAGATTGACAAATTCATGTAAGACTGGTTTACTAAATTCTCAGGTAGATCTACCACTCTAAATTCTTCAGTTGTCATATCAAATGACATTATCATACTTTTTATGGAAAAACCACCATCAGCAGCAACCAACTTGTCAAAAGCAAACCAATAAATAAACCTGTCTATAACTACCTGAGACCATGTAATTTTAATCGACTTATTAGGCAGATTACTAGAAAGAATTCTCCAACTACCTTTACTCAATGTGAAAACTTCAACCACCCAAGGGACGCTAACCCTACTTCTCATTTCCCAGTTTAGATTAACCTGTGTAATCTTCACAATCATAGGGTCACTTCTGATAGGACAAACCCCGAATCCAAGAATGGTTTCAAGACCCCAACGTAACACACCAGGCACAGCTACACCAACTGATTTTCTGATTGAAGGATTCCAAAGAACAGCCATCTCTCGTACAGAGTTGTGACGAGAATGACCTGGAACACGATAATAGCCATATAAGCACAACAATCCTTGAGAGCTACCAACCACACGTGAGTCGTTAAGTACTTTAGCAAGCACAGGAACAGTCACAGCGAAACCTTGTTTGGCGAAAGTTTCATCATCAATAAATGAAACATACTTTTCCTCAGTGTCTACTGGATATTCATACCATACAATTAAACGTTGAGTCTGATTGTGGTAGATATTGTAAGCAACAAGAAACTCACGGCTGTCTATTAAAGACTTCCATTGTTTGGAGACGGATCTGAATTGAACCAGTGATTTCACGGGAAGTCTTTTGATGATTTCTGCTTGAATTTCGCAAGGTATGTTGTCTGACATTTTTATTTTAGAGATGGTTAGGAAGTTGAATTGCTAGGGTTTATATGAATGGAGAGACAAGCAGGAATAGATGATTTAAAGATATCATTTTTTTGAATAATTGAGCGCGTCAACGTTTTCCAGGTGGCGGGAGTGATGATCATATGATTTGTCTGGAATTGAGATTTCTTTCCTTCCGAAACCGTTTACTTGGAAAGTGGGCGTTATTTTTGTAAAATGTATAAATGAATGGTGTAATTGTTTTTGGTATTCAAGCTCATCCTTATATGGTAAAGACGTGAAGTGGTTTCTATGTTTAAAAAAGTTTATATTTGTATATAATTTTAATTTTATATATTGATCATAATTCTTTATGTAAATTGTGAAATTTTCTCTAGGTTATTATTATATTATATATATATTAAAGTTGTTCACCAACATGAACAGTGAAGTTACGTCTTTTTGGCAGAAATGGTCCTTCAAGTATACGGTTTGTTGCAAGGGGCATTTTATATAGTTAGTTCCTTTTTTCTGTACACGTGTTGATCATCGTGGCTGTTGTGTGACTGTATTTTCATGTTTATCTTCCTTTCTATTACTCTATTTCCTTTATCCATCGCTTCTTCGTTCTTCTTCTCAGTGAAACCTCACCGCCATCACCCTATAGGCGGCCATCGTTCACCACCACCAGCAATCTGCTTCTTCACCACTGTTCATGGGGTTTACTTCGTCAACGATGCTCACCGCCCCCACCAGCTCCGTCAGCCACTCTCTACTACAGCCTACATCACCCCCCAAATCAACCATAAATCACCACCAAAAAAGCCTCCTTAACATTCTTCAAGGCAGCAACCGAGCAATCACAGCCACCATCGAGCCTCCCTGTCAAAAAGAAAAACCAGCCAACACTTTCTGACTTCGATTTGGAGAGAAAGAGAGAAGGATTTTGATCGATCTAGAGAAGAAGGAGAAGATGCGAATTTGGAGGTAGTGTGATCGATTTTGACAAGGAAAAAGAGTGGCTTGTGCGAATTGGTGATCGAAATCAGAAGAGGGAGAAGAACCTGTTATCGCTTTGGAGTGAAAGAGAATCTACGATTTTCATGGCAGGGTCGATCGGATTCGGAGAATCGAAGGGACAGCTGCGATTTCTTATTTGGTGACAATCGATCGGAATGTTGGCTGCTACGCACGCAACGGGTAGCTTGACTCTTTGCTGGGGTACAAACGCACGCAACAGACAAGGTGTAGAGGTGTAATTGGGCTGAAATTGTAAGCCTGATTTCTTTTGGGCTAAGTCATCTATGGATTGGGGTTTGATTTTTGTTTGTGCTTCTTTTCAATTTTGAAAAGTCCGTTACTTCTGTGAGTTAATCAATATATTTCACATCTCTCTGCTTGTGCGCAGCTTTATTTATATGCCTGAGAACCTGATTCCAGGCCTAAATTTTTCTAATTCGATGGTTTGTTGATTTCAATTTTTGAATTAATCGTTTATATGGTTATCGACATGACCTTATTACTGTGCATTACAAGGCTTGATACAAACTCAGTGAGGAAGAAAGGAAGGAAAAGGATCATTGTGAGTGACCCATACTGATTACGTGAGTTCCTTATCAATATTTTATTAGATTGTTTCTAAAAGTTTGTTTGTTTGCAGTTGGCCCATATAACAGTCGGCCATTCCAAAATCCCTCTTCCAATCGATCGTTTCCACAATCTGAATCCTCATGGACTGGAATAGACCACCGTTCCCTTTTCCTATCGACGGTCTCTACAATTTGAATCGACTGGGAAATAGAAAAAGAACAAGATTTTTTTGGGAATTGGTTGAACCCTAACTATCTTTCTTCCTGCCAATTATCTCTTGCTTCTTCCGTTTTTAATCTACTATGCTTAAAATTTATTATATTATTTGCTTCTTTTGTTGGTTTCAAAGTATTTGGCAGATTTGAATTGCAGATTGAAAATATCCGACAAGGTAATACAAATCCATCATCTATTTTTTGCTTCTATTTTGCTTTTTGTTGATTTTACTGATATATTGAACACAATAACTTGCAATTTTGCTGATATATTGAACAGAAGAACCATAATAACTTGAGACAGGAATCCATGTTGTTTGTAATCGGTAATGGTTTGTTGTTTTTGCTGATTTTTCTTCATTTGTTGCGCTTTATTTTTGCTTTTTTACTGAAATTGATAATGATTTGTTGCTGCTTTTGTTGATTTCTGAAATATATGCTTATATTTTGTTGAATTATGTGTTCATTTACAGATGTAATCTAAATGATGTTGAGCTGTATTTTATGAAGATATAACTATCGACTTCTATCTCTTTTTTAGGGAGCAATGCACCATGATTGCCCTGTATGCTTTGAGGTATCCATTTTTTCACCTTTTATTCATGGATAAATCATAAATATTTATGGGGGTTTTTCTAAATATTGGTTATTTTCACTTTGCAGTATCTTTTTGATTCAATAGATGATCTTACAGTCATGCCATGTGGCTATACCATTCGTAAGAACTGTTTAAAGCAAATGCAGCAACACTATCAGTGAGTCAATCTAAAACACACCAATTTACACTTTCAAATCATTTTGTCAACTCAATAAATATTAAATGTACTTATATTTGTTTTTTTAAATGTTATTGGAACAGGTATGCTTGCCCTTTATGTTTTAAGTCAGTGTGTGATATGTCGGAATTCTATCAAAACAAACTGGTATGCCATTGCATCTCTTTGTCTTTTTTAGTTTTAGTTTTAGTTTTTTCTACTTCTAAGAAACCATTTTTTTTTTGAATTTTTTTGTTGAAGATATGGATATTGTGCAATGACTGTGGGACCAATTCCAAAGTGGCATTTCATGTTGTGGCTGTTAAGTGCCCCAGTTGCAAATCCTACAACACCCGCCAAACGGGTGGCTGGGCTTCTATTCTGTTCGGATTTTGTTTTATTATGATGTTAGTTGTCCTTTGTTGAGGGTTTATATGATGATATATATAGAGGATGTTTCCATGTTCTTTTACTTTGGACAATGTAACTTTTTCTGCCTCATTTCATAAATCATTATTTACGGGTAAGTCCCATTCCTTTTCTATTTAATCAGGTACCTTACCAACTTGCTACAAGGTAATTATTATTCGCAAACCATCTGATTATGTTTTAATATCTAAAATATTTGTGAAACTTTCTTGCCTACAGAAAGATTCAAAGACGAAAGCCATATCACTGCAAACAAAATCATCAGCCTCTTCAAAATTCTTGTATTAGGTAGATTCTTTGAAGGTATTTTGTTAAAACCCAAAGTTAAATTCATTAGATGTAAGTATAAATGTTAGTTGGAAACTTCATGTTTTAATTTCTCCTCGCTTTTAAATACGACAAATGTTATTAACATGGAATGGTTCATGGAGACCTGAAACCCGGATAACTTTTTCTTTGCAGGTTGATGCGACGGGTGTCATAGAAATGGAAAACAGGTGCGTGCATCAACTTTCTTCCTTGCTACATTTAAAATTATTAAGGTTTTGTGGAATCGGGTGACATCTTCCTTGCATCTGAGTTGCCTTTCACTAATGTCCCTGGGATTTTTATTTTTGAAAACGAAGAGATGATTCCTTTCCACTAATTTACCTTTTACTTTAAGTTAAATAAAAGTTAAAAGAGATCTATTGATTTTTAAGTTGACTAAAAAAACTAAATGTCACACTTTAGAATGATAAATTATCATAATGGATTTTCTTTATTTGAACTACAGTTTTTATGTTCAAGTTATCTGTATTTAGTGATTAATTTCTTATTCTTTTCGTAGATAATACTAACAGAGGTGGATCTACATTGCGACATACTAAACAAACTAAAGAAGTAGAATCATCCACATGATCATAGTTGATAGGCTAGACACATCAGCTACCGTGGTGCTGGCGGTCAAGGATGGAGATGGAAATTTTTTCCGTTGCTAAGTCGGTCTTGACTGGGAAAGTTCAGGTGAGGGATAAAGAAAGCCAAAGGAAAACAGTGCTTCCATTCGGTTTTGGACCAAAATGCCCCTGCATAATGTTTTTCTACTTAAAAACAATTTAACAATTTTGGATGAAACTGCCCTTGCATACCGTTTTTATAGTTATTATTATTTATTTTTTTTGCTTTTAACAGTTTTGTACAAAACTATCCCTACATACTGTTAATTTTGGTTAGAACCAAAAAAAAATTCACAAATCCGGACCACTCATCTAGTATATATTAAAGTTGTGTTAAAAGATGAATAGTGAACTGGCGAACTTTTGGCAGAAATGGTCCCTGTATTATTGTTGGAAGTAGCAACATTGGTAAAGTCGACTTGGGGCATATTTTGACATTACGTATATTCTTTGTCTATACGTGTTGGCAATCTACTGCGTCGTTATCTTCCCCACTGTCTCTCTCATCCGGTACCTTCTACAATCTTCTCGATTTTCTTTCTTTCCTCTGAAACGAACCGGTTGCCTTCGCATGCCACTAACAGCTCTTTGCTTCTTTCTCTCCTCCCAAAACATCTTCCCTCCGCTTGCTCCGACGTTTCTTCTTCTTCTGAGAATCATCAACCTCCACCAAGTCCTACCCTAAAGGGGTCGTCTTTTTCAAGGTCGAGAACGACAGCTTGGGATACACACGCAAATAGACAGACGGTCCAAGAAGTTTATGGGGCTTTAATTTCGTTTATGTGGGTTGGGCTGCCATTGATGAGGCTAACCGACAAGTATTTGTTTCCACTCAGATTCCTTGAACAATCTGGAAAAGGTATAAATCACAAGTCACTATTCAATTTTGATTCATCACAAATTACAATTATCATTTTTTTTCAACATAGGTAGTGCAGAAGGTTGCTCCGAGTTCATAAGTAATGGGCATGAAATCCGGGAAGAAAGTGGGAATGGTCACAACTGTTCTTGGGTCTCATGGGGTTGGGCTGATTACGCTTCAGGAAGCTTTCAAAGGGTCAGGGAATTTAGTGATCAAAGGAGAAGAAGAAGATGTGAGGGTTGTCACTGAAACATTTCCATTATCTCTCCGTGTGTGTGTGTGTAACTTTTTGACCGGTATGTAAGTAAAGATGAAATAGCAGCGATAGGGTTTTGGAGTGGGCTGATTTGGTTGATATAGGAAGATAAGTCGTAGGCATGAGGCAGGGGACGCATACCATGTGTTTGATAAGAATCCCCAACGAAAGTGCATTACAAGTGCAGCTGATTGGCATTGACCTTTTTAGCTTTTTTTTTTGGGAAAATCTTTCGTAATCTATGATTAGGTATGCAATTGCCATTAATCTCAGTTCATATTATCTGTACGTTTATATTTTTGGGAATTTTCGCATTAGTTTTTTCATTGGCTATATTGGGTCCATATTTTATATGCGATTATGGAGCTAGGTTTCCAATTATTACTCTGATTGTGCTTTAATTTGATCAAATTTGAAGTTTCTAGGGCTAGCTAGGGACTCATTATGATCCCTTACATGTCATATGAACATCATGCATATGACTACTTTAAACACTCTATCTCTTTTATTTAATGAATGAAATTTTTCTTAATCTCAGTTGCTAATAATTTCATTTGATTCTGATCACAAACCATACAATTAGCTGATTTCAAATTTTCAATTTCCTTCGGTTGTCTAGGGGAAGACCTACAGTTGCAAATTTATATAAGTTATTGTTCGACTGGATCAGTGAAATTGTTAGACCTGGTGAAGAAGGCCATCAAACAGAAACAAAAATATAATCTTTGAGGATGTCTTTTACAGCTGTAGTGGTCATCCAAGTGTGAGTAATGATAGGTGTGGTGGATGTGTTTTCATTTTCCATATTTTAAATCAAAGATTACATGTAATTGTAAAAATCTGAAACATCATAATTTACTAATTACCGATTGACAAAGTATATGAGAAATAATCATGTTTGATCTTACCAGGTTGTCGCAGGATGCTGAGAACAAAACATTATTGTATAATATGGTCATTAAAAATTATTCCCAGGTTAGTTTTTATAACTTATGTCTACAATCCTTATGTTTTATTATAAAATGAAAATGAAAATATTCAACTATTGCCTCTTTATTTTTGCCAAATCACTTTATATAATCATCATCTCTTCCGACCTCACCCATCCACCTCCGAACCCAACTACCCACACACATAAATAAACCCACTAACCCACAGAATCAAAAAACGGATGGATTCCATTCTGTAGTGTATTTGTTTGCCAATTGGAAAGAATTTTAGGTGAAGTAGAACACAGGATCAACATCAGTGATGGATTTTGTTGTGGACAGGTTGCTTAGCATCACACCATTCCATTTAGCTCAATAAACTTTCTAATTTCCTTCCACTGAGCAATATTTTGCCTGCCACATCAGCATGGTAAAGCAGTCCAAATTTAGAAAGTTTAGTGACCTAAGATACCAAAAATGGAATACTGATCTTAACTTTATTTGGCAGGTTATAGTATGACAATATTTGTTTGTTTGTTTGTTGCAGGCATTTATCAAAACTTGAAATATTGAAGCATAATGGAAAGGGACCAGAAAGCATAATCCATTACAAAGAGGTGAAACAAACATAAACACAACGGATTCCATTCCATTTCCAACTAGGGGTGTCAAATCGGGCCATCGTGTCGTGTTTTTGTCTGACACGACACGACACGACACGACAAGGTTTTATATAACACGAGCACGACACGACACAATCTCGTGTTTTTTTAACTAACACGAAAACGAACCGATTAAAAAACGACAAACACGACACGACACGACAAAGATAACATGAAATAACAATTAATGTATTTAATTAATATTTATTCATACACAACACGAAAAACACAACAAACACGAAAAACACGACAAAAAATGTTAAATCGTGTCAATTTCGTGTCAAATTTTGAACACGACACGACACGACGTCGTATTTTTTACACCTGACACGAACACGAACACGAACACGAACACGAACACGAACACGAACACGAAACGAACACGAATTCGAATTTCAATTTCGTCTCAATTTCGTTTCGTGTCGTGTATTTTTGTGGTGTCGTGTCATCAATTGCCACCCCTATTTCCAACGAATCATTAAAAGTTAGTGGTTTTAACGGATTTTGATGAAAATTTCCCGTGTTTACCGTTTTGGATTTTAATGACCCTTTTTTAATGGTAACTAGAAATATGCCCCCGCGTTGCGGGGGTCGGATTTTGAATAAACCATTTCCAAAGGGGGTTTACAGGCACTACGTGGTTGATTGTTTATTCGGGAGGAAAAAATGTTTGAATAAAAAAGTGATAAAATTGACAAACATAAAAAGTCCAGGGGGAGAAAACGATAATATATATATATATATATATATATATATATATATATATATATATATATATATATATATTAATAATAAAAAAGAAGTGACACACATAGCAATATAGAGGGACCGGAAATGTAATTCAAACACAAACAAAAGGATATGAATAAATTAATTAAAGAAGTACAGGGACCGGATATGTAAATGAAGGGACCAAACCTGGACAAATTATGCCAATTTCACTGTTCCTTTCGTCCACAACTTTAATATATATATAATAATTACAGATAAAAATTAAAATTATTATAATCCTATTTGGGTTTTAATGACCTTTTTTTTTGTTAAAGCAAACATATATTTTCTAGATAGACTTTCACTTGCTATAATTGAATAAATTTTCCAAAGTATAATGCTGCAATAGGAAGAAATGGAAGCATGTTGCTATTTATTGCGTTAACACATTTTTTTCCCCACTTGCAGGCTGAAGGTTTTTTCTGGATCAATATAAACATCCAGGAAGCACATTTAACAGATCATTTGAGTAATGTTGATTGTTGGTAATTTATATGTGTATCCATTCTCTTCTTCTTTAAGACTAGAATAATTTGGCAAATTGGTAACTAAACTATTGATTGTCATGACCTATAATCTAATTTGGCAAAACAAAAGGCTTGCATCTCATAATGTTTTCAAACATGGAAACTTCACTAAAATATCATTATTTTATTTATTATAAACCTTGCATGCTCTTTCAATCATCTTCCTGTCATAAGGTCATGTAAAAATCACATAAAATTAGAGTAGAGTGTAAAAATGGGTCGACTGTTTTGACGGCATGGGAAACAAGAGTTTGGAATAGTTAAATAAGCAATAAATTTTTATAAATATCAGATCTTTGAATTTATTTTTGGTTGTGGGTGTTCTTTTTTTTTTTTTGCTGTAATTTGAGGTAGAAAAAAGTAGTGGGATGTCATTCCTCATAAACTGCAGAAATTGCAGACATGTGAGTACTTTTTGTTGTTTTTAAATAAAATATTTTTCTAGACTATATATGAGATGAAATAATGCATGTTAATTTGCTTATTATATTTTAGTAAGAAGGGAACCACCACAAGCATTCAGATCATACTTTTACACATTGTTTTGTAGTTGGTTCACTATTGCAAAAGGTGGTCATCTCCTTGGCAACAGATCTCGCTGAATGGTTATCAGAAGTGGAGAGTTCCAAGGTAAATTCTTTTTAGATGTAAATTACAAAAAAAATATTCACTCATATGAGAAATCCGTTGTCTTCTTCTTCACCCACCATCGGTCTGACACCCCACCACTGTCCAAGAACAATATAGTGTTGAGGATGTTTGCTTTTTCGAAGTTGTTCACCTTCAATTGATTGTAAGCTTTTCGATTTCTCCTTATTTTTGTTGAACAATGTCTCTATTTTCATTTAATTTTTAATTTTTGATCATTTGCTTTTGATTTTTAACCCTAATTTTCCGCAGAATATTTTACTTCGTTTTGACACAGTCAACACGGAAGAAAGAGAGAGGAAAATGAAAGAATTTGCATCCTTATAGAGTTACCAAGAGGTGGGTTATGGTTCATCATACATTCTTTGATTGATGTTTAGTTCTTGAGTATACAGATTCTGATTAAACAATATTAAGTTCAGAATTGAAGTTATCTCTTTTGGGGTTTTGTTAATATGTTAATTGATTGCGTCTCTTCTAAAGTTACAAATACCATGTGAAACCATTCTACACAAAATAAAGAACATTTCCCTTTAGATTCTTCTTCAAATTCTCAATTCTCAGATCCTTGTGGATTTTTGGTCACATTCAGGTACTTTGACTGTATGTTTTTCTGCAAAAAGTCAAATAAATGGTTTGTGTAGAACCTCTGTAATTACATGTCTTGTTTATGTTTATTAGATACGATGTTGAGATAATTAATTCTACCATACATATTTGCATCACTATTGGATTTTTTTTGAGTAAATGCTTATGGGTCTATTTTATATCTAATATATGTTTCTATTTTATAGGTTGATAGTTCAAACGTCGGTATTAAAAAATAAATAAATATTAACTAAAATGGAAGTATTAAAAAAGTTGGAAACTATGGTGGCGGGTGCTCAGAATGTGAATGGGGTTGCAGTCGGTGGACTTGAAGAGTATTTCGGTAATTCGAGGTTTTGTTCTCATGTTACTAATGGTTATGGCAATGGAATGGAATCACAAAAGAGCATTTCAATCTCTACAATCATGGATTCCATTCGGGTTTCATGTAAATACACTATAATATTTTTTTTTTTTGGCTTCTCATTTCCGCCTTCATATATATTGATGCAAATATGGAGTATGTATTTTGTTTTTTACTCATAATAATAAAAAATGTCATCTAAATGCAATGAAAATCCCTTCAATTTAATTGTTTTTATCCTCTAAATTTACCATATATATATACATGTTACAAAATAAAATATCCTTTAAAACACAAATATTACTTCCTACTACATACTAACAAATACAATCACCAACGAGACACTACCTATGACTATACGATATACATAACCGAAAACCAAAAGACTAAAACCCTGGTCGTAATCGAACCCCGCGGAGCGGGGTACCCCAGCTAGTTTATATTATAAAAATGTGTTTCAAAATAAAATTATATCTGTTCTAAATACCAAAATGGGTGGCGACTTCTTTTGCTTTTGCTCCCTTCAACTTTTGCCTATTTTTTATTTTAACTCTTGGGAAAATGACACAAATGCCCTACTAACTTTCTAGGGTTTATCCTTTTCGACCCTAAACAATTTTTGTGGCCTTATGAAGGCACGAAGTTGTTTTTGTCGGGTCGATTACATCCTTTTGTCCAAAGTGAAGGGGTCAGCCGGTTACTTCTTTGACACAATGACATTTGTTGACCAATTTTCTTATATTGACTTTGAATTTTCCCATACTCTCTCTCTCTCTCTCTCTAACTCTCTCTCCCTGAAACCCACCTACAAATAGAGGTCCTGTACTCCTGCTGTAACTAGCATCATATCAACAAATAAGGGGATTGAGTTTTTTGTTTAATCATTGACCACCGTTTGTATGTATTCTCTTTGAATCGCTTGAGACCAATTGTGTGGGTTTGTATGTATTCTCAAAGAACAGAGGTGTTGTGGTTCCCCCAAGAACTTCAAAAAATCAAAAGAAAAACTTCACCCTTTTCTGAATCGTTCACCCAGAAGGCCAGATCTTGAGATCTGATTCACAACAGGTGTGGTGATGGTTGGTGTTAGTGTCTGCCTAGAAACGAAATTGAAATTGTGTATACCCAAAAATGAAATCGAAAACAATTACTCTAAAACCAGTCCAGAAACTCGATGAGGTGCCATTTGCTTGGTTCCTAAGCTCCGGTAACCAAAACAACAAAGTCGATCGGAAATTTACATCATCCCATCATGAATCGCAATTGTTTCAGTTATGCCTAGGAAGTCCGGTAGAGGCCAACTCATATCACCCGGTTCCGATGTCTCTAACTCCGACACCTCCTCTTTGTTCCCAGATAAAGGCCCTGTTGTACTCCAGAACTATACCGAAGAAAAGTTATGGCCTCGAGGATGGTAATCACAACAAGAATCTGGAAGTACGACACCTAATTCTACCAGAAAAATGAGCGACAAGAGAAGTTTTTTGGGGATTTCACTATATATTCCGAATTTCTGAATGTTTTCTTCAAAATCGCCATCAGCTCTAGCAGATTCATGACGAGATGGAGTGCAAGCTTTAAATTTTGCTCGAGTAATGATTTATATGGAGTTTATGTGTGTTTGATTAGCATATAGAAATAGATAGTTCAGTTTATAGTCTATAGTTCCTAGAGAGAGAGAGAGAGAGAGAGAGAGAGAGAGAGAGAGAGAGAGAGAGAGAGAGAGAGAGAGAGGCCCCAAGTTTTGTCAATAAAACCGGGAAAAAGAGGTGAAAGTGGCTAAATAAACAGGTTCCCCCTACTTGGTTCCCTTATTAGGCCAAAAAATAAGTTAAGTGGCTAAAAGGGTAAACCCTAAGAACATTATAGGGCCTATATGTCATTTTCCCTTAACTCTTTAATCACTTTTATTTTTTGGCGATTTAGGTCCCTCTACTAAGTTTTTTTTGTCTTTACTCCTTTCAACTTTTCTTATTTTTCATTTTCACTCTTTAATCATTTTTAACTTTTGGCAATTTAAGTCCTCCTACTAAGATTCTATTGCTATTATCCTCATACTTTAGTAAATAACATTTTCAACCATTCACCTTTTAGAATATCATATTCACCCTTGTACTTGAACTTTGGAAAATGTCAATTTCACCCTTTTTATTTTCTAAACTTTTGTTTTATCTCCAAGTATAATCTAATTTTCCTAGAATTATTACCCTTCTGATTTTTTAAACCTTTCATATGTGTCGGTATGAATTAGAGGTGGTCAATGTTTCAGCGTAAATTTAGAACTTTAGTTCGTTTATTTAAGAAAAAAATAATGTAGCTGTCAGGATATATAAATTCGAATTTGTTTACATTTCAACGTATTTTTTATATTTTCGTTCTTATTTTTATACGTATAAGCCGGATCACATATGATACGTTTTTAATTATTTGAACTTCCATTCTTTAACTTCAAAAAATCTTACTTAGTTATGCATGTCATATATAATACGGTTTTATTATCTTTGTTTGGCATGGTTTTGGCATCAAACTATTGTGGTTTGCTGGCTTATGTCTTTCTCAATTCATGTTCCACATGTAGCAACTTATTTTCTACTACATCTCAAATGCATTACTGCCGCCGCAACGCGTGACGTGTAAAATCCTAGTTATATTATAAAGACAAATTAAGTTTTCAACTTTCTAGTAGTGTAAGAAATCAATATCATTGTTACGTATCACATTGTTATTACTATTTTTCATCTTTTTAGATCACTTAGAATAAGTTAGAATAATTTAGCTAATAAATATTTTTATCAAAAATTCTTATTGAGTTAAATAAACCAACACCCCTTTAATAGTTTTCAATTACTTGTTTAAAAAAAACATTTTATAGAAACATTTATAAAGCCTATCAATCAAAAACACATAATTACAGGGTGAGAATAGCCTTGCTACGACAATTAATAAATGACATCCGGTCTAGTTTTACACCTCTACCATTAGTTATGATCAAAATAAAAGAAGTTTGTTTTATTTTATCAAACATCAAGAGTCTACTCAGGATGGTCTACCAAGACAACCTCCTTGCCAAAAAAATGAAAGGTTGAAAGTGAAGCTTCTTTCCTTACCATTCCGACCTCTTATGGATAAGGATTTTACCGATGTTAAAGGTAGCTTGTTTTCAAGGTATTTGACATAAGCCGTCTTTGCTTTTTCTATTATCGACGTGATCCTTTTCTTTAGCTTGGCACCAAGGATTCTTTCCTCCCCTTGAACATCACCATATTTCCATGCTTCTGATTAATAATAGGCGGAAACTCTTTAGAGTTACTAATAAACTAGATATCCCACTTCCTCCTCATCTTACAATATAACGATATAGCGCTTGCGTAGAAGAAAAATCATGATCGATAACATCAACATCTTCCACACATAAGGGGCACAACAGGTTATCTAGGTCCACGTGTATTGGAATCTTGTTTTAATCAATCCCTCAACTCAATATATTCACTTTAACACACACTTAACTATAGTTGTTCAACGTGGGGAAGTGCTTGAACCAACACATTGATAGACTTTAGTCAAAAGTGACATGATACTCATGATGACTTGAGTGTAACTTGGTTCGTACATCACATGATTTTTTCATGGTTAGTTTACCATCCAAGCTCATGATCCACGACATCCACATCATGAGAAATTAGGGGTATGCAAGATAAGTCAATGAATCTAGACAGATCTAGGAGTTTCATAGAGACTGAAATTGACAAACATAATTGCATACCTAAGTAGCTTCTTAGTATGATTACAACATCCCTTTTCTCATCTTGAAGTGAAATATGGTTCCTAGCGTTATCTGAATAATTTTGATCCGGATAATCATTTTTAAGGATTATACAAACAAAATAAAATGAAACTTTATTGTAAATGATGTCTACAAACTCAAACTTGTCCACCACAAAGTTTTCATTGCTACAAATCCTCTAAAGGGATAAGCTGACTCGGTTGATCGACCTTAACTGATTCATGACTTGAGAATAATTCTCATGTACGAAAAGAAAGAACGTGTTCTAGATGAAACTCTTCTTACGTTTTCTCCAGTTAATGTATCTGAAGATATGAGGGGGGAGAAAGTGTTAAGATAGGCCATACATTGAGACTGAAATTGACAAACATAATTGCATACCTAAGTAGCTTCTTAGTATGATTACAACATCCCTTTTCTCATCTTGAAGTGAAATATGGTTCCTAGCGTTATCTGCATAATTTTGATCCGGATAATCATTTTTAAGGATTATACAAACAAAATAAAATGAAACTTTATTGTAAATGATGTCTACAAACTCAAACTTGTCCACCACAAAGTTTTCATTGCTACAAATCCTCTAAAGGGATAAGCTGACTCGGTTGATCGATCTTAACTGATTCATGACTTGAGAATAATTCTCATGTACGAAAAGAAAGAACGTGTTCTAGATGAAACTCTTCCTACGTTTTCTCCAGTTAATGTATCTGAAGATATGAGGGGGGAGAAAGTGTTAAGATAGGCCATACATTGATATATTGGAGCGATTCGATTTCGATTTAGTTATGAGTTGGCTATGGATACTATCCTCAACTAGGTGATAAGTTCATATATAATTAGTTCACCTTGATTTTGATATGAAGAAGTTGGAAAGGACCATCTTGGAGTTGCATGGATTGTTAAAGACCATTGAACATGCATGTACACGCCTAGAAACTCTAGCTTTATTGCTATTATATTTGCTATCATTAAAGAAAATTTTAAAAAGAAGAAAGCCAAACACGTAAGGGTAAAGGGGAAAGATAAAGTTAGGACACTCAACTCCAACCCCAATGTCATGGGAAAGAGAAAAGATGAATCCAAGATACTTCAAACAATCCTAATAAGGCAATATGATTCCATTGCAAGGAACAATACTAAAAAGCATAGATTCTTAATATATATTAAAAGATTTAAAGAAGCTACAAGCCAAAGAGTATGACACAAATCGATATACGTACATAATACCATATAAATATTGCTTCTAACTCACATGTATTACACTCAAGATGAAGTATTGGCAATTAGTAAGAACGTGCAGTGACTTAAAGGAAGTAAAAAGCTAAATCATAAAGAATTGAAAGTGATCTTGGATATTGAGCTCCTCACTATTAT